TGGAAGGCACCACCCAGCTCTCCATGTTGGCCCTGCTGCGTCACATCCTGTCCCAAGAGGGCGTGAGGGGCCTCTACCGGGGCATTGCCCCCAACTTCATGAAGGTTATCCCCGCCGTGAGCATTTCCTATGTGGTCTACGAGAACATGAAGCAGGCTCTGGGGGTCACGTCCAGGTGAGGGGCCTGAAACCTACGCCCGCCAAGATCCCTCATCCCACACCAACTACTGGATCCCAGAGCCCCTCACCCATACAATCCGCTGGATCTCCACACCTCATTCACGGATCCCAGTGCCCGAGTGCTGGAGCCTGAGCTACTCCACCCAACCATTGCGTCACACCTCCGCCTCTGCGTCCCCCTAGCCCCAGTTCTGGATTGCGAGCACCACCCCCACCCCCGAACTGTGGGATCCACAACTTGAGCAATTCGTCTCTGATGCTTTCACTGCCGGACCCAAGGACCTCCATTGCCCAGTGCCCCCTCCAAGTCACTGGGCCCTGCCTCTCCTACTTCCCAGCTACAAAACCCCACCTGCCCCTGTTCTACCTGCTGGATCCTGGATGGCTGTATCCTAACCACTGGATTCCCCACAACTTAGCTAGTGGATCCTGCTACCCCAAACACAGGAGTACACCCCTGGACCCTAACACTCATACCCTAACTCCCACAGGCTCCAGAGCCAGTCTCACCAGATCTCTATGCTTCAGGCTCAGCCACTGGGTTCTAGAGACCAAGAAACCTCAGTCACTGAATCCTGGGGCCCTCACCTCACCCACTGGATTCCTGATGAGTTCCTGTGCTTCCACCAGTGGATCCTAGATCCTTGTGTTCAGGCTGCCAGATTTCTGTTTCAACCACTACTTCAGCTTCCAACCAGTAGATCCCAGGTCCCCTCACCCTGACTGTTGGATTCCTGCATCCCTGTGCCTCAGTTGCTGGATCTCAGATCCCTATGCTTGGCTTGCCAGGTTCCTACATTTCAACCACTATATCCTCAGTCCCCAACTACTGGATCCCAGATCCCCAAGCCCTGACCCACTGGATCCTGAATCCTGAAACCATAAGCATGACAGCCTGACAGCACAGTGACCACCAGATCCCTCGGCCCCCATCACTGGACTCATGACACCTCATCCAGGGAACTCTGGCCCCCCAACACTTCATGCATGGATTCTGTAATCCCTCGCTTTGGACCCAAATCACCCAGGCTCTGGATCCCGAGCCCTCGGACCCCACGTCCTAAATTTCAAGAGCCTGGTCATAGGGTCCTGAATCCCACCCTCACTCCTCTATCCCCTCCTCTGACCCCAACACACACAGGAGCCAGGGTCTTGGGAAGCTAAAGAAAAGCCTGGGTCCTACCTCTAGCTCCAGAACATCTGTGGGATTTGCCAATGATTGTGGCCCTGCTCAGACCGGGCAGCAAGGGAAGGGGTGCACTTAGCCCTCCCTGCATGAATGCTGAGCCTCCCACCCCCTCCCATCTCCTCAGCATGTGGGGCAACAGTGCCCTCCACTCTACAGGGTCTTCCAGCCCCTCCCCACCTTACAGACAAACACCTCCCAGTGTTCTCAGGGGCTGGCAAGGAGGCACTGAGGCTGGGAGAGCCAATGAAGGGGGCCCCCCTCACCCTAGCACTGCCAGGCCTGCCCCAGGCTTTACCCCTCAGACCTCAAAGCCAAAAGCACGTCACATAATTCCCCTCCCCAAATCCAAATCTGCAATTTTGGAGAAAGAAAAGCCACATGCCAACCCTAGCCTGGTCTACTTGTCTACCAGAAAGGAACGTGTCCCCCCCCCCCACCCCCCACACACACACAAATCCAAGCCCTGGCATCCCAGTCTCTGTATTCTGCACTTTATGATTGGATTCTGAGCTTAAGATAACTGGGGACCCCTTCCCCTCTACTCCTTACTCTTTGGGGAGCCATGTTAGACTCCAACAGAGGAACTAGGGTGTCTGGGCAGCTGGTGGACGTCCACATAGCTTCCACCTCCCTCCACCTCACTGCCTGTATGTGTTATTTCAAAGGAAAGGCAAAAGAGTAAATTTGCTAAATTCTTTCCATTGTGGTTTTTACTAAAAGGGGAGCGGGTGGGTTCGGAAGCAACCTGAGACTATTGACAAGGAAGAGGCATTGGGTCATACCTCTCACATACACTTCCAAGAGACCAGGAAGTGACTTCCTCTCTCTGGGAGCCTCGGTGGCCACATGTATCAAGTGGGAGCAAGGGGAACCCTCTTATGTCCAAGTCCTTGGGCAGTGCAAATAATGAACACATTCTGCTGCTAAATCAAAAGCTTGGAGGTTTGAATTCACCCAGAGGTGCCTCGAAAGAAAGGCCTGGTGATCTGCTATGCAAAACTCAGCCATTGACAGCCCTAGGGCACACAGTTCTGTGCGAACACACTGGGGCCGCTGTGAGTTGTAATTCATTCGAGAGTAACTGGTGAGGACATCTCCCCATCAACTGAATGATGCGCCTTCGAATCGGTTATTACTCTTAGTGACTGTAACGAATTTTCGGAGGAGCAGCTGGTGGGATTGAACTGCTGACCTTGTGGTTCCCAGTCCAGTGTTGATCCTACAATGCCACACCCGGAGTTCATTGACTGTTGTTGTTGTTGTTGTTGTTGTTAAGTACCGTGGAGTCGGCTCTGACTTATAGTGACCCTGCACAGGGTTTCCGAAGCTATAAATCTTTACGGGAGCAGAATGCCTCATCTTTCTCCCACAGAACCACCGGTAGTTTCGAACTGCTGACCTTGAGGTTGGCAGCCCAACCTGTAACCACTACACTACCAGAGCTCCTTTCATTGACTGACTAGCAACTGTAATCCCATCTGAAAGCTGTGTAGCTGTGTCCTGAGTGGCCTAAAGAGTTGATGCTGGCAGTTCCTCAGACTGGCAGTTCCAGCCCACCAATGATGAGTCTGGCACTGTAGGATAAGCACTGCACCACAAGGTCGATTTGAACCACAAGTTGATGGTTCAAACCCACCAACCGCTCTTCGGAAGCTCGATCCAGGGTTGCTATGAGTCAGAACCGACTCGATGGCGCTTAACAACAATAAAAGCAATGTGCTTTGATCAAGATTGTCATTGTTAATGTACGAAGACCCTAAACTAGATGGATTGACAGAGTCGCTGCAACAATGGGCTGAAAGAGAACATAGTGAGGAGAGTGCAGGACTGGGCGCTGTTTCGTTCTGTCCTATGTGGGGTTGCTGGGAGTTGGAAAACGGACTGGACAACAGTTCTTTCATATTAGCCTTGGTAATGATCTCTTCCCTAACAGAGCTTTAGAAAGAGAAAAGTTTTCACATTGAGATAAAAAAAACAAGTCTTTGCCATGGAGTAGTGACTTTCAAGAAGCTCTGGTAGCGTAGTGGTTACGAATCGGGCGGTGAACCGCAACGTCAGCAGTTCAAAACTACCAGCTGTTCTGCGGGAGAAAGATGAGGCTTTCTGCTCCTGTAAAGATTTACAGCTTTGGAAACCCTATCCAGGGTCGCTATGAGTCGGAACAGACTCCATAGCCTATAACCACCACCAGTGACTTTCAGGAGAGGGAACCCAACCCTGGTCACACATAACAATTATTCAGGGGTGGTGCCTTTTAAAAACTGCAGGAATCCCTGGGTAGCACCCGTGGTAACTGCCAGAGACTCATCAGAAGGTGGTGATCTAAGCCAGCCAGAGACTCTTTGTAAGAAAGTCCTGAATCTACTGCAAAATCCAAGCTATTGAAAACCCTATGAAAAAAAGGGGAGTTTGGGCTTGTTGTTGTTAGGTGCCATCGAGTCAGTACTGACTCATAGTGACCTTATGCACAACAGAATGAAACATTGCTTGGTCCTGGGCCAACCACATAATCATTGCCATGCTTAAGTCCATC